GGACGCGCGTCTTAAAACGAGCGAAATCGCGCCGAGACGCCTCGCCTTCGTTTCCCCTTCGTCGTTTCGCGACTCCGCGCGAACTCGGTGTCGTCCGTCGAAGAAACTCTGTAACCTGAGAAATAAAGAGGAAAGAAATGCACACACTTGAAGATGGGGACGTTCATTTCCGGTGGGACGAGGAGGGAGGACGGTCTTCCATCGGTACACGCGCGAGTAGAATAAAATAGTTTATTATAATCCACAGAAAAAAAAACAAGACATTTCCATGACACGCCCGAAGACTCGCGCCGCTGTCTGTCTCTCTGTGTGTGTCTCTGTGTATGTGTGTATGCGTCTGTATGTGTGTCTCTGTGTATCGGTCAACAATAGTGATTACAATCATTCCCAGTCGAAGATCATCGGAAACGCGAATTCGCGCATCATGTCGGAACGCCGAGGCGAGCAATACAGTGTACTCGATAGTCGTATAGCCTACGGAAAAGAAACGAGAAGAAGAGAGAGAAAAAAAGAAGAAGAAAAGAAGAGAGGTTTCGTGTTCGTTTTATTTTTACGATAATCGCATTCTTTAAATAGCGCGTTAACAGATTTCGTATCTTTATATATCCATCTATATATACATTTATATACATATAGATAGATAGATAGATAGATAGATATATATATATATATTTTTTCTTATGTATTTATATATATATATTTATTTATATGTATATGCTATATGTATATGTATATTATGTATATCGGAATACCCGTCTGAACGGAAAAACCTGCAACCGCTCTCACACAATACCGTCGCCGCGTGAAACCTGCAAACGATGATCGCCACACCTCTGCGTTTTCCTGGCCAGTGAACAGCGCCGCGAATACTTTTTTTTCTCCTTTTTCACCCAGCGTACGAATCCGGTGTACAAACGTACCGCTAACGCGATCGTCGACGACCAACCGCGGACGCCGTTTATCCGCGAATCGTTCGACAATTTCGAACTACACATTCATACATACGTACGTACATTCATTCATTCATTCGGATACTCATACGCGATACACTTCGTTTTCTCGTTTGTTCGTCCGTTGCCGTTCGACGTAGCATGGATGGAAATAACCCTTTGCACTCGAGAGTCTAAATGATTTGATACGAAATTATGAACTTTGGTATTTGCCATTAACCTTCGTATACTGCATCGATAGGTGAAATATTAAAAGAAAATTGCTTCGGTAGCTAATTTATGTATGATTCCTTGTTAAATTCATTTTCGAGAATGTCGTCTACGTCTGATTAGAAAGTAGAGAATACTTCGAGTGAAGAACTTTCGAGCGCAAAGAGTTAACACTTAGGCGACCTGAAGAACTATAACTACCTCCTCCATTATCTTCGATTGAACCCGTTCGATCTGGTTGGGAACTTCGTTTTAAAAGCAAAAACTCTGCAGATAATCCCACTTCAGGACTTGCTAAACAGAAGATAGAACGAAAGGCAACAGGTTGCTAAGTGAAAAGTGGGCTAATTAACACGTTGAACGCCACGATTTTGCAATTAACGAATACAGGAACTAAAAATAATATATCAACGTTGAATTACGTTGTTACAGGTTCGAATCGTTGAATGTCAGTGCATATCGTGTCACTTGTAACGTATAAAACTTCTCAAATAATCCTCGTTTAATCGAACGAATCATATTAACCCCTCGGCGTACCATTTACTTTCGTTACTAAGCTCGTGTAATATTTCACTATCGACGATTTGTAAGAAATACAACAAAATTTTCTACTTCAGGTGAAAATTTCATTTGAAGATGATACATTGATTCTTGTTGAATTAGTTTAGAAATCTTCATCGCGAGTCTCACTCGTCATTGCACGGCAAGGGGTTAATCAGATTAGACGAAGGTCACCGGTGACCTTCACGGTATCCAACGTGTCAAACCGAGCGTCACTTTCCCGAGCATCGAACGGTGTTCGAATATTTCACGGTCGACCTGGCAACGAAGGAATGTAGCTGTGAACGACGCAACCGACGAGTCACAGACGATTCGCGTAGAAAACGATGCTCGTGCCCGCAGCTTCGATCGTGGCTCGTACGTGTCACGACGAGATTCGCGAGACTTTCCGAGAACATTCGTCGTGTGGTTCGGCTCGTCCCTTAAGTACATCAGAAGGTATAGAACTATCGATTGTAGGAGCGTATCGTGTCCTTACGATTCGATGTAAGTTCACGTCCAGTAACGTAGCGTGCTTTCTCTCGTTACGCGTCTAATGAAATATGCCCTGTGGAAGATAGACCCTCTAGTTCTTCTTCTTCATCATCATCGTCGTCATCATCATCGTCATCAATCGTAATCCTCATCTTGAACAAAGATGATTAACACTTTGTCGGACGTCGTCGAAACTACAAGTCGATTCTAGGTAACGTTATCATGGGATGCGAACAGACAGCGTACGTCCAGTTTGAACGAAAGAAATAAACGAGCGAACGTCCTCGAACCACTTTTCCACCGAGTGTCGCCGGATTCATCGGTGGAAACTCGACTCGACCGCGAAGTTTCTTGCTCTTCGTCGGAGGAGTTTTCGACCGTTGGACGAACGGGGAACGGGAAGGAACCGCGAAACGTTTAATCGTTCGAGTGCCTAGCAAGCGTCTCCAGTAGTCTAAGTGCCTGTCGAATCGAATGAAGTTTATTCTTGCTAATCATTCAACCCTTTGCCTTGCAATAACGTCAGACACGCGGTGCAGATTTTAAACAGAATCGAACTAGCATGGACGTTTGCTCAATCTTTCTCAATGCAAATTAAACATTACCCTTCTGCTATCAATCATACGTTGAAGCAAAGATTGATATAGAATACGCCTATAATTCTCCCTTAACAAATCATTAACGACAAAGTAGTAGTGTCGATCGTAGCGAAGTAAATCGTAGGGCAAGGGGTTAGTCACTGGCTGCTTAGAAATGGAAAAACAGAATCGCATCTCGAACGTTTCTGAAAATAGAAAACGATTTTTCGACCGGGATTCCGGAAAGGTTGGCACTCGAACGATTAACCGGCATTCCCAGCCACCGGAAACCGAGCTCGAACGCACAGCGAAGCCGCGAACAAGCGAAGACGACCACGACGCGCGTTGCGAGACACTATGGCACGAGAAGCGACACGCCGTCCGTTGCAGCGAACCTGGCGCTCTCGCCTCAGTGGTCAGCCTCCACGCGCACGCCTCGCCCGGCTGTGATTCGCCGCGGCGCTCACGCCCACCGACCGCGTCGCGCGGCGAGGACCGCCTCCAGACTCGTATTGGGCGTCTCTGAGCGACAGACTCCGCCCACATGACGCGACGAGCGCCAGGTTCGCTGCAACGGGCCGGTACGCTTCCGAAGAATCGAATCACGGCGCTGATCTCAGGCGTCGGCGACCGGTTCGAACTCGAGACCTGCGTTTCGTTTCCGTTTCCGATCGCGCGGTCGTCGTGAGACTGTAACGGACACTGCAAACCTTGATCCCTGAACGCTCGGATAGTACGAATAATAAGTAACGCCGGAGAGGATGCTCCTCCGTGCCGATAGCTAATACAAAAATACTGTTCTGTTGCACCGTATCTCTCTACTATTCCTATTATCGTTATGCGTAGTAATCCCTGTAGTTTTTTTCTCACGCCCCTTTCGAACGCTGTCGGGGAAAGAAGGAAAGAAGAGTAGTGAACGAGGAGTGTCCTTTCTCCGATTCGAATTCGGAGATTCTCCGGTTTCGTGTGATCGGTTGGATGCTTCGGAAAGAGTAACTGATTTCGAATGATCATCATGGAACGCGTACCTCCGGCAAAAGTCAGCACTCCTCGTAGCCGTGCGAAGATCACGCGTGCCGTCCGTTGCGGCGAACCTGGCACTCCTCTCCGAGTGGTCAGCGTCTGACCACGCCTCCTGGCGTCTGATTCGAGGCGCTCCGCCAATCGTGTCGCGCGGAGTGGGAGGAGCCTCCGGACTCGTGACTGGATTTCTCGGATTGTCTCCTCGCAACGGACGGCACTCGTATGCTTCGCACTTTCTCTTTCGTTTTTCCGATTGGTCTCAATCGATACGCGAACGGTAGCGATACAATTTCCGACGAACTGACCGCGTGTACCGTAACGTGTTACATATCTGAGAAAAGAGAGAGAGGGAGAGAGAGAAAACACGACGACGATCTAATAAATAAAACCGATCGATCGGTATCACCGCGGAAATCTCATAGAATACCAGTCATGATATGCGAACGACACGGGCTAACGGACTGTCTGCTTTTCCTCGGTTATCTCCGTCGATTTTCCGTAATTCCTTGCTCTTTCCTGTTCGTCGTGTGATCGATTTAATTGTAATCAAGCATGGCGGCCGAAGGTTTCCACCTTTCCACGGGGGAACGGCCCCTCATCGCCGAGCCTTTCGTTATTCGCTACGGTTATTATTATTGTATAGTTTACATATACATATATACGTATGTAAACATACGTATATATATATGTACGTTCGAGATACATATGTTTACATACGTACGTATATTATTTTATATATATACATATATAATTCAGCATCACAGTAAGATAGCGCCCTTCATTATTAAGTGATCGTCGATCAGCTCGGACCATTTTATATTCATTCCTCTCAACAACATACTTTACAACAACACGTCTAAAACATCGTCGAATAAATTTCATGCGACATCAACGTCGATGTTCGTCGTTACGTACATGATTGGTATCGTGTTTGCGTGAAACTAGTCGAAAATATA